ACAGTCTGGCACTTGAGTCCAGCTGTGGCCTAAAGCCCAAGCCTCCCTGCCACACAAGCTGCCCATGAATGCTGGCACCAAGGCCGGGTTAGCCTGAACACAGAGGCACCACCAGGCCCAGGAGAGCCAAAGGCCTCAATTGCTAACTCTAAAGGGGAGGACAACTTCCACTGGATTTATTGAGCATAATGAAACCTAGCTCTCCAGTAATTTAGGGGACAATGTTAGTGCTAAAATTTGGATTTGACTGTGCCTCATTTTTTAAGCTGGTGTCATGAAGACAATTTCACTTAGAGAATAAGGACTGTTATGTCCATTGAGAGTCTGCTCTGTGCTTCTAGGTGCTGGGAATAAAGAAGATAACAAAATGTGGTTCCCACATCAAAGCACATAAACATGCGACTGCTGCATCTGTGACTTCAGCAGATGAGAGTTTCGCCCCTTGAGTCTGCATTTAAAATGAATATCTGGTCAACCTCCTTAGGGGTCCACAGTGGACTCCTTTTTGACTAAAATGCTAAAGTGAGTTCTTCCCTACCATATGTGAGGTACTCATGAATAACACCATGAAAGGACAATATAAGAATGCAAAGATTTGGTTCATTGAAAGATTCATTTCCAAGTTTTCTTGATTCAACTATAGGGTTAATTCCCACACACACACACACACACACACACACTCACAAAAACAAAACAAACAAACAAACAAAAAACCTTTTACCACAAGTATATTCCTCGCTCTTTCCAGCTAGAATAGCCTGTGCTGAAATCAAGCTCAAAAATACAGATTTGTGCCAAAACCGGTTTGGCTCAGTGGATAGAGTGTCAGCCTGCGGACTGAAAGGTCCCAGGTTCAATTCCGGTCAAGGTCATGTACCTTGGTTGAGGGCACATCCCCAGTGGGGGGTGTGCAGGAGGCAGCTGATTGATGTTTCTCTCTCATCGATGTTTCTAACTCTCTGTCCCTCTCTCTTCCTTTCTGTAAAAAATCAACAAAATATATTTTTTTAAAAGAAAAGTTTTTTTAAAAAAATACAGATTTGTTTTTAGGCAGGTTCTACACTCCACTCTCAGTAAAACAGAATTGTAGAAGGTGGGAGCCAAAGTGGTAGAACCAATCATATAGACACCATCTCTTTTTTAAAAAATGCAATCACTGAGGCTGAGAACTTAAGTGTCTTGCCCATGGTCAAAAACAAATAAACAATAAATCCAAGACTTAGACATTTTTTCTGCAACCCTATAGTTCATGCAAAGTCTAATCTCATGCTTAGAAAATCCCGATACGAGTTCTGCCCATCATAATGCTTGGAACAAGGCAGATTCTCAGTGAAAGTTAGTTGAGTAAATACCCAGCTTCTGGTATATCCTGAATTACCTTCTCATAACCCTCTTCTGCAATGCATCTTCCATTCCTTCCTGAAATAAATTAGCCAATAATGTTATACCATTCTCACCTGAGCAGTAACAACATCTCTAGTGATGCATATATTACCTGAGCAGAGATGGAGACCATTCAGAGCTATTTAATTAGTGCATCTACCAGGATGTATTTCACTAGATATGCCACACAGAGGCTGAGGCAAATTGTTTTAGGGGTTGGTGACAAATCCAGGGCCTAGAGCAGAGAGAAGTGAAAGAGAATTGAGCCCAATCTGGAGATAACAGGTGAGCTAACTGACTTGCTCAAAGTCATCTAGATGCTTGGTACCAGAATGGGATCTGAACTCTGACATCCAGATCAGTCTGGCAGCTCTATACAGTGCTGCTCTCCCAATGGACCAGAAGCCTTGGTGCCTATTCATGGAGGTGCTTACAGAGGGGTAAATGATGCTGCAGAGGGGTAAATGGTGTGCAGAACAGTAAAGGACAAGGGGAAAGGAAGATGCATATCTTCAATAAAAATGTTTATGAAGAATCTACTAATTGAGTGTTGGACTCGCTGGGTGGGGCCCTAATCCAATAGAACTGGTGTTTTCATAGAAGGGGAAGAAGCAACAGGAATAAGTCTGCACAGAAAAAGAGCCATATGAAGACACAAGAAGGTAGCTATCTATTTACAAGCCAAGAAGAGGAGCCACATGAAAAAAAAGTACACCTGCTGGCACCTTCACCTTGGACTTCAAACCTCCAGGACTGTGAGAGAATATATTTCTTTGATTTAAGCCATCCATTCTGTGGTATTTTGTATGGCAGCCCAAGGTAACTAATATGATAAAGAGGGCCAACAGTGAGGGTCTGCTGAGGACCACTTCTCCTTCAGCCTCACTCAGCTCCAGGGTTGTCTGGGCTCAGGGAACTGACCCATAGAGCTGAAAATTACCCAAGCATTTTCAGGTTAACCAAGTTCACGCTGAAACAAACAAGCAAAAAGAGCTCAATAATGACAAAAGGTATAGATAGCTATGAACAAATTTTCTGTGGCTTACCTGTTTTAATCGCCTTGTTTCTTTGGTGGTTAGCTTTATTTGAGCAAACATTTGTCTCAGAAATCTTGTTTGTTGGAAATGTACAACATAAACTACTTGAGGCCTCAGATTGTCAATGTTTGAAAAATAATAGTTTATGTCCAGGAAAGAGTAAATTCCATAGAAAGGGGGGATGTTAACAAAAATGGCAAAGTAAGGACCTTTGAAAATCTCCAAGAAAGCAGTGAAAACACTGTCAAAACTGGTCAAATCAACTTTTTCAGAATCTGGAAGTTGATCAAAGTTTTGGCAATCTGAGAAGAGTTTATTCAAGGGGAAAAAGGCTGAATCTCAGTAACAGCAGTAAGATGTTGACATTTCAACTTGCTCCATCTTCATTCTTCTTCCCAACTGAGCAGTAACCCTGACAACCAACAAGTTCAGTGAAAACCAGTGCCTGGCAGCCATTGGAGGATGCAGACTGGGGCAGGAGTTCCTTCAAAGCCTCTCCCCAGAGAACTGTCCTATTTGATCCATCTGGCGGTTCTTGGAAGAGCCCACTCACAAGCTATCTTTATTTGAACTGACGTGGGGCTTACCCACTGCGCAGACCCTTTTCCCAGGGCACTCATTAAAAACTATAGCTGTTTACGGTGGTGGATAATAGTTGAGTCAAATAGTAAACTAACTAAAAAACTTACAAGAATAAGCCGGGGAATGCTGTGTCTGCCAATAGGGAGTTTTGAAAAGTTTTGATATATTTCTGGTAATCTAGAAGGCTACAAGGAAACCCAAGGCTGTGCAAAGAGCTAAGGGGGTCCTAAATGCTTGCCTTGAGGCTCTGTGAAAGCAGGAAGTAAAGGCTAAGACAGAGGTGGAAACTGCCTACCCAAATGCTGAAAGTGTACCCAAATGCATACACAGAGTTCCTCAGCGAAGGCTCTGAGAGTTCTGGGTGCCACGTGTTAGTAAAATGTCTGCCCCATTATCAGCTGACCACTAAGCTAAATGAGCAGAGACTTCCGTGGCCAAAAGTGACAAAGTATACAAACTCCACAGAAAAATTACTAAATAAAAAGGCAACAAATCCTGGACTTGGAGAGAATCCAATTCCAGAGTTACCACATTATATTTTTTTTTAATGTTTTCAACAAAAATTTATGAAATATATAGAGAAACAAAAAGTTATGGCCCATACTCAGGGAAAGAAAATCAGTCTCTAGAAATTGTCCCTGAGAAAGCCCATGTGTGGACTTACTAGGCAAAGGCTTTAAATTTGCTGTTTCAGAAGTGTTTAAAGAACTAAAGAAAACCATGTTTAAAGAACTAAAGGAAAGTATGAGAAGGATGTCTTATCAAATAAATAGAAATTATTTTTTAAAAAGAACCAGCTCCTGCTGGTGTGGCTCAGTTGGTTGAGCATAGTCCCCTGCACCAAAGGGTTGTGAGTTCGATTCCTGGTTAGGACACATACCTAGGTTGTGGGTTTGATCCCCCATCCGGAAGCTTATGGGGAGACAACCAATCAATGTTTCTCTCTCTTTCTCCCTGTCTTTGTCTCTCTCTCATCATTTTAAAAATAAATAAATAATAAAAAGAACCAAATAGAAATTTTGGAGTTGAAAAGTATAACTGAAACAAAAAGTTTACTAGAGGAGTCAGTAAAATCTTTAAGGAAAGAAAACTTCCTTGATGATATTATTTTTATTCATTTCTCCATGCACAGTAACTGGGAAAGCAAACCAGGTGGCTGTGTTTCCTATTGACATTGATCCCACTAAGCAATACCAAGCAGTTCACTATGGATTAACCAAGGGCCTACTACGTGATGCTACAAAATAGAGAAACAGAGGTTTGGTTGAATCTGTCCTCAGGGACCTGTAACTTCCAGCAAGCTCTCTTTGTCATTTTCATTTCCTAATGACTCAGGTCTTGTTTAACAGTCTCTCTCACAAGCCGTCTCCACACCTAATCTAATATACGTATTCATTCAGCAAACAGGTGTTGTGCCATTCATTGGTGATACACCAGTGAATAAGACAGGTGCAGCCCCTGTCCTCCTGGCCTTAGGGCACTGACATGTGGTATAGATAATGTAATGTCAGTGGTGAATGTCCCAGGAAGAAAAGCAAAACCAGGGTAGAAGGTGGGGTGCCTTTAGATAAGGTGGTCAGGAAAAAATTCTAAGAAGGTAAGACATGAACAGAATCCTAAATGAAATGCAAATATCAAAGGAAGGAGAGTCCCAGGAGAAGGGAATGAGCTCTACCTATGAGGATTCATAGGACGGTCAATGTGAGTGCAGACTCTTCTTTCAGCAGTTATCTTAGGTTCAGCCTACCTTTTTCAAAAAATATACATTTTATTGATTTTTCACAGAGAGGAAGAGAGAGGGATAAAGAATTAGAAACATTGATGAGAGAGAAACATCAATCAGCTGCCTCCTGCACACCCCCCACTGGGGATGTGCCCGCAACCAAGATACATGCCCTTGACCGGAATTGAACCTAGGATCCTTCAGTCCGCAGGCTGACGCTCCATCCACTGAGCCAGACCGGTTTCGGCATCAGCCTACCGTTTTATACCTTCTGCCACAACCTGTATTTTACCTGTAACACTCACATTTATCTTATTCCAGAATTCTTTGTTCTTCTTGCTCCAAGTTTGTGTCCCACACAATTCATCTTAACCCCTGCTGCTGCTAAAACAATTTGTCCAGAACAATTTCATCACGTCACCTGACCGTCAAGAAGTTCTGATGGTTCCTTACTGCAACTGAGCCCATTGGTTCACCACAAGCACTTACTGGAATCCTGGTGTGTCTCAGATACTTCTCTAAGCACTGTGTATAGACTAATGCACAACAAAGATCAGGTTCTGTTCTCACAGAGCAATGTTCTTGATCTGGAGGAATAAGACAGAAACTGAACAAATCAACAAATAGAAGTTTATATAATGGTAAGTGCAAAGAAGAAAACAGAGAAATAGTGGTAGTATGTATGGGGGGAAGGGGAGACGCGGGAACTAAGGTGGTCTGAGATGGTCTAGAAATCCTGGGGCCAGCGTCAGTTTCAGGAATGGGACTAGCAGGAGCCAAGGCCCTCACATGGTGCTCTTCAAAGTCTGCCTCCACAGCACCTCCTTTGGGAAGTTTCCCCAGCTCACCAGGGGAGCAGGCCACTTCTCCTCTGAGTGACTAAAGCAGTGTCCATATTTGTATTTGATTGTCATATGGTCAACTTTGTCTTTCTCCAATAGATTATGAGTCTGCTGGATACAAGAACATAATCCAATTAATGTCAGGCTACCTGGAGTACCACAAAGCACTGATAATGTCTGTGGAATGGAATTGAATGAAGCATAGTTGTAACCAGACAAACAATGGGGCTGTGCTGCCTGTCACTACTGGAGCCAATGAAGCAGAGGCAGGGTTGGATCATATATGAGTGTTTATTCCAATACTACCTGCAGTATGGGAGAGCAGCAGGTTATCCACAAAAATCTGCTCTGCAGCGCACCATAAACCAGCTTCTTACATAGCAAAAGATCAGTTTACAGATATGCAAAAGGACTAGGAGTCTTCAAAGGGCTTAGTGATATGCAAGGACTGGGATTACATGGGGAAAAAGCCAAAGAGAGTGCCAAAATTAGCAGGTAAGCAGGCTGGAAGTTTCAAAGGCCTGCAGGTGTGCAAAAAGGGCTGGCAATTCCGGTTTCTGGAACAAATCTGTTAATCTTTCCATGATAATAGGCAACTCCAAGTGGAGAGGAAAGGCTGTATCTCCAAGTCAGCTTCAGCCTAGGTAGACGTGCCTTCTTTAATCAGAATAAAACAATCATGGTTAACAGAGCATGACTGATATTTCTTACAATATTAGCTGGTTCCCCAACATCCTATTTCTGCTCCATTTCCTTGTGTCCTAATCTGGCAGGTAGAGTCATCCATTGTTGAGCTGTAATACAGCCTTCACTTACACTCCTGATTTTGTTAAGCCAGGAATTGCTGCTCCTGTCCTATCTGGGTAAAACTTGGCAAAGTTTACAAACTGTAATAACTCAATCCTATATAATAGAGAGATAATATGCAAATTAACCCTCACACCCTCACAATAGGGCTGCTTATGACCAGGTCAACAGGGGGGTTAGTGAGGGATGACCAAATGACTGAACAGCAGGCTGCATGGGGTGACCAGGCCCATGGAGGAGTCGTGAGGGGTGACCAGTCTGGTGGGGGGGAGGGGAAGGGAGCAGTTGGGAGCAACCAGGCCATCAGGGGGAAGAAGTTGGGGGCGACTAGGCTGGCAGAAAGGAGCAGTGAGGGATGATTAGGCTGGCAGGGGGAGAGCAGTTGGGGGTGACCAGGCCAGCAGGGGGGCCAGTGAGGGGTGACCAGGCCTGGGGGGGGGGGGGGGCAGGTAGGGGTGATCAGGCAGACACGCAGAGGCAGTTAGGGGCTAGAGACTTTACAGCTTGTTGTTGTAGGTCCTGTGGGGGGGACCATGGGAAAGTGTAGATTAATTAGGGCATATTCTCAAACTCACAGAGATAATACAGGAAGGTGCTTACAAGTTCAATGCAATGGTTCACTCTGAAGCAGCGACCCCAGTCCTCTCAGAAGAAGAATAAATAAAACACAAGAGCATGAGAGACACAGGGCAGCCAGTAGGAGCCGTGTCAATGCACACCGCACCCAGACAGGGAAATTATTGTGAATTCCAATGACCTAAAAACAAAGGTGGGGCAGGGCGTCCCTCCCATGGGGTGGGGGGGAATGTGTAAATACTAATAAAGAGCAGGACAATCAGATAGTCGCATGTCAACAGTTCTTGGACAGAAACTGCTGATCTGGTTTTAAGCAATTTGAGGTGCTAGGAGCCACTATCAAATAAACACATCTAAGATTGTTGGAGATCTATTAATTTATGATGTATCAAATAAAAGCAGGGTGCCTAAGGTGAGCCTGCAACAGATGGGAAATGATAAGAAAAGCAATAAGGGTGTCAGGCAGAGACCCCCAGGGGCACAGAATAACCTGGATGAGTGGCCATAGCATTTCTAGTCAGACAAGTAATTTATCACTGGGGAAAATACTCGCTAGGTTCTAAGAGTAAACTCCATGTAGGACCTCAGATATAAATCTCTTGTTGCTATGAAAATCTGTAATTCCTATAGCATTTTTCACCAATGTTGGATTATTTTCCTTTATTCAGTCACCAAAATGTGTTGAGCACCAGATACTATTGCTGCTGACTCTTCAGTGCCTCCAAAGGAAATAGAGGAAGTCCCTGATAGACCCCACATTCTATTGTTTGAGGAAGGGGCCTTGGGGAAAACAGAAAATAAACTAATAAACAAGCAAATGCTGTGAAAGACAAGGAAGCAGGTAATAGGGTAAGCTCCTTTTACAAGGTGATGAGAAAGGGGCCTTAAAAGAAGCCCTATTTAAGGGCTATTATATACAGTGGTCAAGGAAGGCCCCTGTGATGTGACCTTAGTGCAGGAAGTTGGGGGAGATGTGGGAAAAAGAGTTGCAGGTGCTTACAAGAAGGGGAGAAGCAAGTGCAAAGTCCCTGGGCAGGAGTATGCTTGGCACAGTCAAGGAATAGCAACAAGAACATAAGCCTGAGCAAATGAGAGAGAGGAGATGTGGGGCCTTGCAGACTACAAAAAGACTGGATGAGAGCTATGGAAGAGCTTTGAGCAGAGAAGTGATGGTATCTAAGTTAGACCACAAGGGGATGATCGCTCTGGCTGTGTGTGCAAAGTGGAGTAGAAGCAGGAATACCCAGGGTGGAGACTAAGGTGGTAGACCCTAGTCTCATTAGCATATTATTCACATGAGCTTCACTATCCATACCAGGAAGTCCAGAGCAAGGTGAGTTAATAATGAGTCCCTTGAGTCAGATTTCAAAATGATAGAATTTTAATTAACCAGAAAATTTGCGGGATGAAATAGTCTTATGACTGCACTGCCCAATATAATAGCCACGAGCCATATATGTCTCTTGAGAACTTGAAATGTCTAACTGAGGTGTTCTATAAGTATAAATTACACTGATTTCTAAAGTTATGGTACTAAAAACAAAACCTAGAATGTCAAATATTTCATTAATAATTTTTATACTGATTATATGTTGAAATGATAATGGATTGATATATTGGGTTAAGTAAAACATACTCTTTTCTTTTTCTCTCCTCTTATCTTTTATTACATATAGCATGTTATGAGCATTTTATTCAGTATTGTATTATTTTATAGCAAAAGCATAACTTCAATAAAATAACCAGGGCTTGTATTTCATTCTTTATCCATTACAGAGCCCAGTACGCTGATAGTCACACAATATGTGCTTTGTTAATGTCTGACCTTGTATTGAAAGGAAAATCATGAATGCCAGGATTTTGGTCAGCTGCTCAAAAAATTATTGAGGTTCTATTTGTCTTAATATGTTCACTCATGGAGAAACCAAGAGACTGGTTGCTATAAAAAGAATATGGCTTCTCTTCTCAAAGGAATTAATTAGGCAAAGTAATGACAAAGAAAAGTAATCTCACTTTTAAGTTAGGACCACATTTTTCAAATGAAGTCAAAGGTTTTTGGTAATAGCTCTTCCTTTTTCTCCGGCTATCTCTGGGCTCCACTGCCTGCTGAGCACATTGGCCTGCTGGAGCACATTCCTTGAGCCAGAGTTCAGTCCTGTCAGTGATGGATGGAGACAAGACTTGCCTCAGGGCTCATGGAATCCAGACATTAGGACATGGGTCTTCCTTCACAACAGGGAGGAGAGTCTTCATCAGGACTGGAAAAACAGACTCTTGAAAGTAATGTCACCTGTTACTTTTCACTTCTTGCTTCTTCACTTTTCATTTTTTACTAGAACATGACAAAGTAGGTAGGAAAATTTGTTTACTCTACTTTTTTTTATGTGGCTACTTGAGAATTTAAAATCATGTACCTGGCTCACACCTTTGGCTCACACTGTATTTCTATTGGACAGCACTGGTATTATAAACTGAATTATACAAAGAAATCTTTTGTTATTTCGAGACTTGCTGAAAAAAAATTTTAAATGTATTGACTATTTTCTGATTTGAATACACAAAGTTATGCAAGCATAGTTAATGTTAATGAATTCAACTAATGTTTGTCGGTGATTCTGCATCTCTAAAGCTTCATTCTCAGTAGCCTGAAAGTTGTGACGATAATAAACATGGCTCTTCCATGCTGGTCTGTCCTTGGAGGGCCCCCTGGCCTAGGGTCCTCGGCTTCATGAAAACATGAACTCCGTCAATTTCCTGGCTGAGATCTTAGGGACACATCTCTCATGGGAGCAGTGACTTACCAGAAGAACAGGATTTTCTGGGTCATTCTGTTTGGCTTCTTGCTATTTCGTCTTTTCACCTCCCAAAGGTGTATATATCTTGGGCTGGGCCCCAAACTCAGGCAGGGCAATGAAAGCTATTATCCTTATTCTAAGTAAGGGTGATTTCACTTGGGCCCTCATTGTATTCTCATTAGGAAAGTCTGTGCTTCTCAATCTCAGAGCTATCTGCAATCGCTCATTAATACAGCTGTGCTCCAGATTTGTTCCTAATCATGCTTTTCAAATCTGTGCAAATCAGCACTTGGTTGGTTGGGTTGAGATTCAGGACTCCTCCTCCCCACATTTCTTATTTATCTACCTGGGTTTGCTTTTTAGAAAGATCATAATATGAGTTGACTGGCTTACATTTTTGCTGTTAAATGTGAAAACAATGGCTAAAAATATCTACCAGAGTGATTTAATACAATTAGGTTAATGATGTAGTTTGCCCATTCCCCCAAATAGCAGGAATCAGTTCCTTTCAAGAGATATCATAGCCAAAGCATAACCTGAAATGGTGTCCTCCAATTTGGAGTTCAGGCAGCTTAGACTACACCTCATCATGGAGAACACCTGTCTAGTCCCTCAAGGTCAGACATTCAAACCTGTATTCCTATTAATGCCATCCACTATTTGCCAGGTCTGAGCTCAGAGCTGTGCAAAGTTAAGTATTCCTTATCTCTTTTTTTCTATACCCTACTTTCAAAGACCAAGCAATCAAACCTGTATTTAACAGACAAGATGAGTAAACAGAAAAGAAATAAATTAAGGAGGTTAATGTTTTAGTAGAACAGTTATTGTGTCCCTTCAAAGGTCTTAGGTTCTGAGTTACTTCTAAACATACCTGGAAATGGCTGGAAGCTGGCTGGGCTCTCGATAGACCTTATAGAACATGAGTCACCTTACCTGCTAAGAAAGGAGAAGAGCCAGCTTTAGTAGCCAAGTCTTAGATTAGTAAACGCTGGCTGGGCCGACAGGTGCATCTTTTCCTCTAAGGCAACCACCTAATCTAAAGCCTAATACAAAGCTTTTCTTCCATCTGATGTCAGAAAAAAAGGGGGGGGGGGAAAAAGAAAGAAAAAAAAAAACTTCAAGATTTAAAAACGTGAAGTGATTTTCCCAAACTTACACAGCTCAGGAGATGCAAAGCTGGGATTCTAACACAAAGGCCATGCTCTTCCCAGTGAGCCCATTTGCCCAAACCTGCAGCCTAAGCCATCTGCCAGGGCCCTTGGGATGTCTGCCTGGAACCTAGCTTTCGGTGCACACTGGCATCCACAGCTGAGGTGGCCTAGCATCTAGTGAGTGCCAGGTCAGGAACCATACCTACCTCGAGGCTTGGAAGGCAAACAAAACCACAGTCAAAGGAATGCTCCAGTCTCTTCAGCCAGCCCTTTATAAATGATTGCTCTCAAATGAACAGAAATTAAACATTCTTTAGCATGCAAAGAGTTTGGGTGGATGCTAATTATTGACATACTCACTTGTTTATAACTTACCAGCCATTCCAGGATTTCAGAAATCTTCCACAAACAACTGATTAAGACATTATTCGATGAGGTCGGTGCTCCATTCCCCAGGGCTGTCAGAAGGAAATTGAGGAGCTCACATGAAGTCAACAGTAGTATTATATCCTGTACCTATTAGAGCACATGTGTCAAACACAAGGCCCGTGGGCCAAATCCGTCCCGCCAGGCCTTGCAATGTGGCCCGCACCGCGCTGTCATCACTGCACTCCGCTGCGTTTCCATCACAATGACAGTTTATGACTGTTCAGTAAGCCATTCGGCCCGCGATTTAGGCTGGATTTTAGATTTTGGCCCCTTCTCTGATTGAGTTCGACACCCCTATATTAGAGTCTAGTCAGAAATCAGGAACCTCTCTAGGTTTCTCAGGCAGAATGGATTTAATACAGAGAACTGGTTACAAAAGAGCTGGGAAACCAAAGAAGACACAGTGAGGCCATCTCAAGAGGAACAAAGCAGACCCTGCTGCTATCCCTAATGGTGGAGGGACAACAGGTGATGCTACCAGATTCCAGGGCTCAGATTGCCTTGATAGGTTCATGGAGGGGGTTCGGCCAACAGTGGGCATGCTGAGCAAAGTGGGGACTGGCCATGGAGAGAAATATCCTAGCTTCTCCTTGCCTTTTGCCCTCCAGTCTTGTATTAGTTCCTCCCAATGACTGAATTTAGAAGTTGAAGGACAAGGGAGCCTGGGAACAGGCTGCACATGTGGCTATGGGAGGGATGCCACGGGGAAAGGAGAGACTGAACGTATTTCTGCAGGTCACTGATTAAAGAGGGGTGGGTAGCATGCAAAGACTTTCTTCTGCTCATCCCTCCCAGCAGTGATTATCAAACACATTAAAGCACGTTAGGAAAGTGCAGAAGAAGACCATAATAATGGGCTGAAATCCAGGAAGCATAAACTCCAAGGAAATATGAAAGAATAATGCATGCTTGGTTTGCAAAATGGAAGATTTACAAGCAACATAGAACTAACTTCTTGTAGACACAATTCATTATAATAAAGCTAGCCTAGAAGGATGCAGATTGAAAGCAGCAGCTGACTGAGGAGGATCCTCCAAAGGCTAGAGTCAGCCCCAGCTCTGGTAGAGGGTGGAAGGTGCTACATCTGAACCCCATGCATCCGAGTCCAGTATTGCAGAGGGCACTGCCCGGGCTGCAACCATGCAAGGCCCTCCTATCCCTGGGGTAAACAGCCATCATTTACTTACTCACTTCACAGAGAGTCTTTGAACCCCTACAAAGTAGCCCTACAATGTACCAGGCACTATTCTAAATACTGCATATTAAAAACAAATAAAAAAACAAAAACAAAAAAACAGACAAGTAATAGGAACATCCAACCCCTTGTATGAGTCAAAGTAACACAGTCCACCCCATCTGAAGGAGAGGGAGAAAAGGGGTTTCCTGGCAGGGTATGAGTAGTAAGAACACTCAACCTTCTGTTATTCCAAGTTCTGGTAGACACATATATGGCAGCTAATCATGCCACAGAATCATGTTTGCTTTGTTCATAGAGATATCACTATAAAGGACATGGCTATTTTCCCTTACCTCAACTCAACAAATATTTGTTGTGTGCCAATTCAATGCCTGGAACTGGAGTTACAGCAATAAACAAATTCTTTAAACAGCATCACCCTATCCTCAGCATAGTAAAACGGCCAGTTCACGCAATTTCACTTCTGGAACTAGCTGCCGGAGATCTACATCCTGTGCAGGTTCATGCAGAGGGTGGAGAATGGTCCGCACCAGGGCAGAGGGTGGAGATGCTGGTCAGGGCCAAACAGAGACGACCTGAGCCAACTCTGCAGCCCTACAGGGACTATGTCCGACTTTCAACAAAGAAAAGCCTTTTTGAGTTTGCCTCATATAAAGCAATTTAGTGCTCTCTTTGGCAGCACATATATTAGACTAATAGGAAGAAAGTTGGCATGAAGAGTTTGTGAATAGGGCTCTGTTTGATCTGCTAATAATGGGTATGTGTCATTGTACATTTGTCCAAATCCATAGAATGGACAACAATCTGTTATGAAACAGTAATGCATCTTTACTTTTAAGCTGTGATTCATAAAGTAAACTATGGGCTTCGGGTTATAATGATGTGTTGTTGTAGTTTCAACTATCGTACCCTTCTGGCTGAGGATGCCTATCACTGGGAAGCTGTGCAAGTGTGGGGACAGAGACCATATGGGAAATCTTTGTACCTCCCACTCAATTTTGTCATAAACCTAAAACTGCTCTTTAAAAAAATAATCTTGATTTTAAAAGAATGACTATAAAAAGAAGATGTTTAGGCAGGATAGCAGCTGAGTAAACTCCCTAGAACAGCCAGACAGTCAGGAGACAGGCCCTGAGCTGCTCTGCAGGGGCCCGAGGCAGTTCCACAGGGAAGCCACAGGCTCTCTCCCCATCTGGAAGGGGCAAGGACTGGACACCAGTATATTTTAGTCTAAGTTTCTCCTTTATATTAAAGATTTGGGGGAAAAAAAGTAATTTAACCAGTCCAATACTATAATTTAATTTTTGATTTGTGAATAATTAGGGGAAAAGATACATCTGATCTAAACTAATTTCTTACATTGTAAATTTTTTCTCTTTTCCATGTCTCCTCTGGGCTCCGAAGGAAAATTAAGACTCCATTTGTTTTTCAAAATTCTCCTTCTGCTATTATGATCAGAATTGCATTCCTGGGATGGTACTGTTGTGTCTTAAAAGTAAAGATGCATTTCTATTTCATAACAGAGAATAAGTCATGTCCAAACCTGGGTATCCTTGGAGCGGAATCTCTGCTTCCTCTGTTTGCCTTGAAAAGTTAAATTTTTAAGCATAGTCAGGGCCTCAGTTGGCCAAGGGTGTCTGTTTACTCAGTCACAGGATGTTGAGTATCATATGTAGCAATTTGTGCAGCGCTCTCAAGCTCCTGGTGTTTCCAGAAAAGATTAGAGCTGCTGAGCCTGCTGGGCTGCCTCCACCCTCCAGGCAGGACAAATTCCAGCCGCAGCCCAGCCCCTAGGGATCGCCCTGGAAGCCGCTCTCTCCCATCCAGCCCACCTCGCCCCATGGCTTCCTGTGGCCTCATTTTAAGTGAATTTATCTGGAAAAATATTAATCTATCAGATCTGTTCTTAATCAGCATTTTGATCATGGCATTTGTCTAAGGATTTTTGTTGCTTTTGTTTAAAAAAAAAAAAAAAAAGTCCCAAAATGGAATCACTTACTGGTATGCTATTGTAAATCCCACATCAGCAAACCAAGACTATCTAATCTAGTCACAGTTTGATCTTCTCCCAGGAATGTAATCTTAACCAGCCAGTCTGGAATTTTCTGGCCAGCACTGGTGGCGTAATCTACCTAATCCCCAAAAGTAGATGATCCGGCCTAAAATGATCCTTTCTTTTGTTTACGACTTTCTTGTTTTATCCTATTTCTACCTTTAAAAACTTTTCCTTTGCTGCAGCTCTTTGGAGTTCCATTCTATTTCCTAGATGGGATGCTGCCTGATTCATGCATCATTGAATAAAGCTAATTAAATGCTCAAATTTTCTCAGTTGAATTTGTGTGAGTGTTGTGTGTGTGTGTGTGTGTGTGTGTGTGTGTGTGTTGTTTTGTTTTGTTTTGTTGTTGGTGGTGGTGTGTGTGTGTTTTCACAATTTCAGCACCTGGAGACATCAGTGAAGTTTTAGGCTTTTTCTACAAGATCAAAGCAGTGTCACTATTGTCATTGGCTAGGTGACCAAGTCAGAACATTACACAGAAACCCAACAACTGTTTTTGGGCTGAATTTGAAGGTTGGGTGGATTTTGTTTTGTTTGCTTCTTGGGCTAGTTGATTAAAGCAGTTGGAGTAGTTTAACAGGTATGGGAGGGCAGAATCAGCTTCAGAACTTGCCCCCCTCAGCATTAATTTTAAAAGATTTTATGTCAAGATTAATGCCACAGGAGTTGATAAAGTTAGCTGTTAAAGTGAGATGAATTTACCCTTGAAGAGAATAAGGCAATAGATACTGCGAGAAAAAAAGCAAAAATGAACAGAGGGCATCCAAATATTCCTGCCTACCACTTAGTGTGGAAGGCAAATAAGAAAACAGGCTCTGGGAGCAGCCTGATGGAAGCCAGAGGGGAGGGGGCTGGGGCTGGGTGGAAAAGGCAAGGTGAAGGGATGAAGAAGTAGAAATTGGTAGCTACAGAATTGTCAAAGGGATGTAAAGTACAGCATAAAGAATGTAGTTGATAAAATTGTAATAGCAATATTATTCAATATGTGTGTTGCCAGATGGGTACTTGAAATATCAGGGGAACATTTTGTAAAGCATATGATTGTCTAACTATGCTATACACCTGAAACTAATACAAAATAATATTGAATATAAGCTGCAATTGAAACATAAAATTAAAAAAAAAAATCAAAAGAAAATAGGTTCTGAAATTTTATTTAAAGCCACACAACCATTTTTTTTGTTTGCTTGTTTTGTTTTTTATGTAAAGGCACTTTTCCAGGTTTTAAAGTCTGGGTTGTCATTTTAACATATAAGAATTCAAGTTAACCACATGAAATTGAAAAGATAAAATAGCCCTGGCAAGGTAGCTCAGTTGGTTAGGGTGTTGTCCCAATATGCCAAGGTTTCAGGTTTGATCTCTGGTCAGGACGCACACAAGAAACAACCAATGAATATATAAAGTGGAACAACAAATACCTCTCTCATCTCTCTCCCCCAACCCTCTTCCTACCCCCTCCCCCTCTCTCTCTAAAATCAATAAACTTAAAAGAAAATTTTAAAGAAAAGACAAACAAGTCCCCGCCCTGAATGGATAACTCCTTTCTCAGCACTTTTTGTTCTACCTGAGTCATGGACTTAGCACATATTATAGCACATATTTCTGCCTCTCCAGCCCAAAGCCCCTTAAAGGCAGTGGTGTTACCGGAAAGGGGACCTGGCCCTGAACAGGTCTGCCTGGGGCCGGCTGGTAGTGTGTGAGTTCTTGACTTCATGCGGGAAAGATTTTACAACACCAGTCCAGGTGATTCTGAGAGTACGTCTATTACAGCTGGG